GTGTGTGTGTGTGTGTGTGTGCGCGTACTTTCTGGTAGGTCTATGATGCCTCGCCTCCTCCTCAGCATGTAGACAGCTGCAAGCAGCTGATAGGCCAGCAGACTGAGGTTGGCCACGCCCCATGACACTGGATTACCAATCAAATGGATCTGAGCCTGAAGTACACACTCAAATTAAAATACACAACTTAACTTCACACCACGTGTTGTCGTCAAAAGTAAAGTGTCGAATAATTTGTTACGTTGGTCGATGAGTGCAGCCAGTATGCGATGTTGGTTTCCATGGTGATCCACTCTAAGGGGGCGGAGCTGTATTTGTGTTCAGAGTCCTCCTGTTTCACTGTCAGCATCTTCCGCTGTCATGACATCACAACATGACATCATCATCCTGCTGCCATGGTAACAGCATAATCTGTGGCGTTAACAGTTAATCATTAAGCTTCGTTATCATTAGCAAGATTTCTGTCTGTAAACTTATGGCCACGTTTGTTGTAGTTTTTATGTTGCATAAACATCCAGATGGGGAAGAGTTGTGATTGGATAATGAAGTAATGATGCATTCACTGATGTACCTGTAGCTCTAAAAATTTTGCCCAGAAGGAAATTTTTCTGTCAACATCGATGTGAGTCGGAGAATGAAGCTCCGCCTCCCTCTCCTTCTGCTCCCGACCTACACACACACAAAACTTGTTAGACTCTGACATGTTGGATTTAACGCAAAGTGTCGATGAGGTCATTAATACGTACTGGTTCCATATCGATGTTCCTCCACCGTCCATCCCAAACTGCTGCTGTGAACTTTAAATAGTTTCTCTGCTACAACCTCCAACTGACGGAAACCCCAGTCTGGAAGAGACACACCGCTCATCTGCACTCACACACACACACACACACTATGTCCTTTTATGGTCTTTATGCTAAGCCTTGCCATGTGTGGTCACTTCCTGTCTGCACCTTGAGGACAGCGGAGGTGTTGACGTGGACCAATCGAACCTCAGACAGGATCGTCTTCCACACCTCTGATTCTGCCTCCCTGTTAGAGATATCCTGAACGAGCATGCACGCACACACACATAAACACACGCAGGGTGTATCCTGAGTCAAACCTCAGGGTGGATTATTGGTAATTACTAATCCGCAGCGCGACTCACCACTCTCCAAAGGTTCTGAGTTGCCATGGAAACATTGAAGTCGATGTAACCGGACACTTCCTGAGCGTGAGGACTCATGGGAGCTGCAACGTCGTGACTGAAACACACAAAACATGTTCTGATCCGTGTTTAAATGTTCCTATGTCACTGTTCAATAGAGTCACACAAAACCACAGATTACAACAACCCCCCCACTCCACCCGAGTATGTTGAGAGTAGTAGCAGCAGTGTCTCTGATGTCGGACGGTCCTCAAACGCATTACAACTGTCCCATTTACCTGTTGAGGAAGCGTGAGGTCATCCCGTGAACCAGCTGGATGACATCACCATGGCGGACAGGTCGAGGAGGACTGCCGACAACCAGCTCCTGTCTGACAGGGGGAGAGGTGAGACTGATGAGACAGGGACTACGTTTCCTAGCATGCCTCAGGTGAACAGGTGACCTACCTGCCTGGATCCTTGACTATCCACCAGTTGTTGACGTCTTTGAAGGGATAACAGGTGACCTGCTGCTGGTGGGAGCTGCCCCGCCCATTTCCATACCTGAAGAAACACACAGGTGAAAACTGATCAAACGCTCCCTGACTCCCTTTGATTGGCTGTTGGCCAGTGTGAGCTGGCAGCACCTAATTGGGTAATTGGCTTTGTGTGAGTGGAGCCAGCATGGGATTGGCTGAGAGGCGGAGCTTCTTAAAGTGACCTGACTTCCATAAGCAACTTCCAGAGGTTGACCCTGAGTGATCCTGGAGAGGCCGCCCTAAAGATAGAATCAGTACATCAATCAGTACATCAATCAATACATCAATCAATACATCAATCAGTACATCAATCAATACATCAATCAGTACATCAATCAGTACATCAATCAGTACATCTATCAGTACATCTATCAGTACATCAATCAGTACATC